TCATTAGCAGCTACTCAGCTCTCCATGGCACTGTCAGTCCAGGACAGTAGCGTTCTGGATAATAGATTGTCCACATGCGGTTGGTGGGGTTTGGAGGGGTTCATCCTTGGATACTGGAGGACCATAAATTGCTGGCATTTGCCCTATGCAGCGGATTGACTTCACTGCAACATGAGCTGCCTAACACCAGCTAGAGATAATCCTTGCCCAAAGATGCATAACTTTGAGATGCTCGCAGAACACTTAGCTTTTTCCTTCTTTAACATGCAGACACTCCCATCTCAAGAACATTTAGCATGTGGGAAAGGTATTGTCTAACAACACCCTAAGACCACAGTCCTATTAGGTGCAGGCAGTCTGTACCCGTACTATTTGCAGGATCAGCACCTATCATATTGGATGAGAATATGAGGATATCTTTGCTAGAAACCATGAGGCAACTGCTCTTTTATTTTTGGCATCTTATTAGCACACATGACAGTGAAAAGGATTAACTGTATCTTTCCAATGGCTGTTCCATTCATAGCTGCATTCAGAGTTCTCTCCAGCAATTGCAATGTGCAACCAGAGAAAGCAGCTGTATACAGTGTATTTTACTTTTCCTTCAATGCACTCAACTCTAGTAAACACCACCCTCAGTTCAATAAAGCATTCAGGCATCCACTTAAGAAAAGCCAATGGAACATAAGCAGGTGGCTAAGTGTTTTGCTGAATCAGGGTCACAAGTGGCAAGCAAAAATACTGAAATATCTAAGCTGATGGTGTTTTTAGGGGGACATTTATTCAGTAAACTCAATAAGGTTTATTTGTACAGGAGATATTCAGTACTATCAGTACACCTTCAGTGCGAACACAAAAACAGACTGCTTTCCCCTAATTAGGTCTAGCCATCCACAGTACCTACTATTTACTTTTGCGTGATTTTAAAAAAATATATGAAGCTAGTATAACTTGCAACAGTTAAGTAATCATATTTTTGTTTTGTTTTGTTTTTTGTTTTGTTTTGTTTTTCTGGTTCCCTGAAGGAGGCAGTCAAGGTTTGGAAATATTTTTTTTGTAATTGCTCTACCTTTTTTATTACCTATCAACTGGTGAAAGGTATCTTTTGGTGTCACCTATTTCTTTTTTTTCCAGCATCTAATTTTCTTTAGAACTACCACTACAATGATTCTTTCTTGCTTTTTTCCCATTGGTTGGAACTTTTTTTTTTAATGCATTCTGTTTTCCATCCAGTACGTTGCTGCGTGTACTTTCTGAATCTTTTGGCTGTCTCTCTGTATTTCTGATTATTTCCTACATCTCCTCTTTTTAATGTATGTGGCTAGTCTGATATGCAATATCTTTTTTCACTGAAAATACACTTTCCTATGGCTGTTGCCACAATTCATTCATGTTTGTGAGTGTCCAAACTTAATCTGTCTGAGACTTTCATTGTGAACTCACTAAGACCTCAAGTGCTACACACGTTTAACCTAAATTATAACAGATAATAGCTGCCCTCTGTTAGATGAGATCCACAGAGATTATTACAGTTAACAGCATGTAAAGTCTCTTCTTTATCCGTATAATAAGATCCTTTCAATCCAGATAAAGCATCACATACTGTGAACAGTAGTCTCTCACTATGGACTTCTGAGAGTTAAGTTTGACCTACATGGGGCTACCTTTGCCATCTTTGACAAGCTCTGTAAAGCTTTTTGGCTCTGCTCAATCTTTCTTCCATAGCACAGAATTGAAAACAATGCAAAGGTTTTAGTTACAACAGACAATCATCTGACAATATGTCCAGTAAATTAGAATCCAATAATAACAACTGGAAGTAAGAAGGACATTGATTAGCATTTTTCACACAAATCTGAAGTAGGAAATCAATATCATTGCTTGCAATTAAGTATAAGTTATTTCACAGGATCATCCAAGAGCAGAATATGAAGCTAAAGTATTAGAAAAATCACTGAGGAAAGAATACAGACATAAAGAGGTATGGTAACTATATGAATTTATTTAATCAGGTAAAATCCTTTGAAACCTAATCTATTTCCAGTGGTGGGCTGACCAAGATTTTGGAAAAAACAAAAAAATAAAACGGAAACAGAAAAGATATAATGCTATCACATTTAAGTTTCTGAATACTTCTGAACCCATGAATTATGTATGTCAGTGTGTACACTTCATGCATGTTAGATCTGTGCAAGTACAGAACTGTGTTCAATATTTAGACAAAGTTGAATGACAGTTGAATAACTCTATTAAAATACAAATTTGAATTAGGCTGTTAGGTAACATTTAAGAAATCTTAAGTGAATCTTGAGTCTTGTGGTATTATAGGTAATTAAAATGTCTCAATAATCCTTTGTCTCCCTCTGAGCTATCATCATGACAACATGCTAATCATTTGGGCCAAACTGTGAGGTGCTTTATACATTCCAATCAGTGTCTGGCTGAATAAGGACTGAGCAAAACTGAACGGTAATTCATGCCTTCCTGCAGATTTTCCTGCATGAGAGGAATCTAAAAGAGAAAAATTATTTGAGAGACCTTCACGGAGTTTCCTCCCTGCTCTTTCAGTGGGAGTAAAGATTTCTTTCCTGGCACCACAGATGCATTGGAATGCACTATTAAATGCCTCTAAAAGGCAAATATTCAGCCATTGGATTGGAATCTGGCTTTCTATGCTTAGATCTTAAGACATTTGTGGCTATTAAATATCCCATTGCACTTTTATTGTTACTGGGATAATAATTAATATTAATAGTACTAACTCCAAATTCTTTGGCAGATTCCAGCTTCAGTAAAACTTTCTGCCTTTTTCAATATAATCCCCCTGCAATAAGGTATCCCTCACTTCTGATCCTAACGTATTTTGTGTTATATTGACAAATCTGTATGTCACCCCAGAGGTAGCTACATCTTAAGGATGAATGATTCAATTCTTTTTGAGTCGTTTTTACAGAAAATCAGCATAAGTTTAGAGTTCAAGACAGGTTGGGATCCATCAAAATAAAAGGAACTATGTAAATATAAGATATTATTAGTAACAGATGCCATGCATGCCATATAGACACCCAAGTAACAGGCACCTTAATAGAATAGTTTAAAATTAGATTAAATTTTCTGTTTAGTTTTCTCAGGTGCATATATTTAGGTGTGGCTTGACTATTCTTAAAGGTTGATACTCAGCTGGTTTTGATGCATTCTAAATAGGCTATAACATAAACTGTTTAAACTTAGCCTCTTTAATATTAAACAAGCAAACAAACAAAAAATTTTTAGTGTGGAATACCTTACTTGGAACATGGTTTAAACTACCTCTGCAAAAGAAAAAGAATTTGAGCTTCTGCCCTTTTTATGATGAGTAAATAAGGCCTGAAAAGTAGTTTTTTTCTTTCCCAAGAAAAATGTAGAGGGCTTTCTACTCTCTCTTACTCAAGAAATTCAAGTCTCATCTAGACCAAATGACTTGTACCACTAGTGAGTGGAGACATCTAAGTTACCAGAGAAGTAAAAGCTGAGCCGTCAAGAGCAAAAGAATCATTTAGTCATGCTGTTTAAAACTTTAGTTTGCTCCTTCTTTGGACAATACCATTTTGATCTTAATAAACAAAAATGGTATGGGAGAAAAAAGTCCTTCAAATAAGGCTCAACTTTTCAACGCTGGGAGTTAGACATATTACTCTTACAAAGAATTAAGTAGGACACTTGAAAACTTGAACCTAAAGTTTGGCTCACAGTAACATTCCTCACAGCTTAGAGGTCCTTCAGAAAAACTATGTAAAACCATGAGAACAGAAACTAAGGCAAAAAACTAAGGCAAAAATAAAATTTAAAAGAAAAGCTTTTCAGGCTTTCTTTATACATCATAAAGAAATAAGGAGGGCACATGACTATTTTTTTAAATGTCCTTTACAGATCGCCTTTAAAAGTAAAATTTCTTCTAATTCTGGGGAGTTGTTTTGTTTTGGTATGGGGTGGGGGAGAGTTGGGTTTTTTCCCCTTAATTAATCTGAAGCTGGAACACAAAGCATTGAACAAACTAATGGAGCGCTTATTGCTAACTTGCAGTGGGTAAGAGAGTCTGCGGATTAATTTAATGTTGTTAATCAGTGCTTTGTAATGTATTGCATGGTCCTTCTTTTGTTTCCTTTGATTGCCATCAGAAGCGTCGACATTTGCCAGAAGAGACAACAAACAAATGGAGACAAAGAGTTAAGACAGTCATGGCTGGGGTGAAATTGGTACATTTCATTCAAATTTATGGAAAAAACCCTCAGATTTTGAGTAATTATGGAAGACACAAATTAATTGTTTTTTCAACAAACTTTGGCTGTTGAACCTTTGTTTAATATTCACATTCTGCTGTTCTTTTTGTTCTTGTTCAGGACTCTGATAGAGCCTGTGTTTGTGGGTATATACAGGCATCTGGGGAGGCTTGGGGGAGGTTAAATCATGTTAAAAGTGGTGACCCAATCTACCTTAGTTCACCATGGTGCAGCCCCTATATTTAGATCGCTAGTTAAGTTGCTCTGAGTGCATACTATACAGAAGTTCAGAAGACAGATTGATCTAACAATGGCCAGCCTAATCTAAGTTAAGTCTACCTCTGAGGTAATCTAATTTAGATTGGGTCTGGTGAGACCAACGTAACTGAACTTCTGCACAGTTCCCAGCACAGCCCTGGAGATGGGAAAGCCAGCTGCCAGCTACAGCCCTGGGGATGCACTTTTCATACCCACCTCATCCCCTTGCTCCACCCCCAGATGGACAACCCCTCCTCGCTGCAGACCACCCAGCCTCTCCGAGCCCACCAAACCCCTCATCCCATAAGACATTTCCAGTACTGGTTTAACCAGTGTTCACTGGTGCCAGGAGCCAAGGAAGTAAGCTGGGATGGGGGAGGGGTGGGCTGTTCATCTGGAGGTAGAGGATAAGGGGAGCTAAATATAACCTCTGGTCCCAGGGTAGAGGAAAGAGTCCCCCAAACCCGCCTCCACAGACCCCACTAGCCTGTCTAGTCCTGCCAAACCCTCCCACACACTCCTGGACCCTGCTTGCCCCCAGTCCTCCTGCAGACCCTGCTTCCTCTCTGATCTCCCAAAGCCCCTCCACAGACACTTCTGGCCCCCCAAAATCCCCTGATTCTCCCAGGACCCCCCACAGACCCTGCTTACCTCCCAATACCCAGCATGGACTCTGCTCCAACCCCCCCCCCGGCCCCACTAGGCCCTTCATCCCAATTTACCTTGGATCAAGTAGCCATTTTTTACTTGCTCTAACCTTCCCCGTAACCTCCCAAATGTCAGTATGTACCCTGTAAGTAGTGGGAATGGCACTGCATGGCTAATCTTTGCATTACCATGTTGGATGGATGTTGCATTGTTGTAATGGAGCATGTGCCACGTGCCTGACCAAGTAGCCTGCTGTTCTGTCAGACATCATGCATGAAATGTCATTTTGTACTGAATTTAAATTTGGTATTCAGCGTGGCATCATCTTCTCTATTTAACCTTGACAGTTCTATCCTCTTAACTTCAAACTCCATCCATAATCTATCTTCATTTGTGACATTCTAAATGAGATTTTTATTCCCAAATTGTTTGAAAGAAATCAGTAGATAGTTGTTCAGATAATAGAGTGTTATCCTGGCAAGAGTTAAGCATGCAAGTAACTGAACTCTTGAATAGTCCTATTGATGTCAATAGAAATATTCATGTGTATAAAATGATCCTGAAGCTGCTTGCTCATGTAAGTAATCCACATTTTAGTGAGACTACTTATATGAATAAGTATTACGTGTGTAAGTAAGGCTTGCAGAAACAATTCTAATGGTGCCTGGCTTCTTGCAAATATATCAGCATACAAAGTTTTTAAAACTTTTCTGAGAGAGGATCATAAAATATTTCTTACACTAGAAAAATAGTGTGAAAAGTTTATCCATGTGTTTCTTTAAAATAAGTCTTTAATAAATATTATTTATCTTTATAATACCCATAATACAAGCTTTAGCACTAGTGTAAAGCTAAATGTAATGTAAATAGTTTATATATATAAAACTAACTCACGGGTAGGCAGCCCCTTGCACAGGTGTCAGAGCATGGCACTCAAAGGCATTTTGCTTGACACGCACTTAGAGTGGATGGTGGGGAAGGGGGCTAGGGCTGCACTGCTACACCAAGGTTCAGGCACCTTGCAGCTCCCCCCATTGTCCATTCCTGGTACACGAACATCTTATGAGTCAAGGTTGCAGGTGTTTTTGGCACTCTGCCCAAAAATCTTGCAGGCCCCCTCTGTAACATTAAGCACTGTTTCTTTGCACCTTTTAACTTGTTGTGTCTGTATGATTTGTTTCTTGTGCATTGGTGTTTTTTGTGAAAAGCCCAGTAGGAGAGAGTTTTTTTAGATACTCTATAGCTTTAATAAACTACAGGGTTTTTTCATATTTTAGACTGATAAAGAGAAACTGACATGGAAAGATCGTTTTCCAGCATATTTTACCAACTTCGTTGGCATTATCTTCATGGTAAGTATTATATGGTAGATACTTAAGATTCACATTATTGAGTCATCTGAAGCAGAATTAAAACAAACACTAGTGAAATAATTATAGTCACTTTAAAAGATATATTTTACAACTGACTTCTTTTTTTCTAGAAAAGGAAAACTGTTTATTCACTTTAAGTTTTCAGTCATATTGTAATATTTGAATGAATACTTTGGCTTTATTTTTCAATAAGCATGTCGTAAAACCAGGGAGGCAAATGCAGGGTGGTTAATGATAATGAAGTATGGAATCAGAAATTACCATATTCTAGATGAAAGCAAAACTCAAATGTGCTTAAATTGCTCAAATCTGGGGAACCAGATAATCATTGTCCCAGAACACAGAAAAAACTAATACATAACTCTAAGTCTAGTAGTAAGTATTGTTAAGGAATCTTTCAAATGAGGGTAGTACCATAAGGCTGCAAATATAATGCCTACATTTATGAAAGGAAAAAAAGGTGATTGATTGCTCTCTCTAGTCCTTAAGTCAATTGCATGCTAGGCTCTAATAATTATTGTTCCTTCAAAACTTGTTCCAAAGACATAGAAGTGAATAAAAATATTAGGCCCATATTGCATTTCATCCCAAAGGTAGAACAGGCCAATCTAACTAGACATCTTTAATAAGAGAATTTACATTTTTAAGTAAAGGAAATGTGCTATGTAGGATCAAACACTATAAATATCATGATCCTACACCTTTCCTAAGTCATAAGCCTGAAGAGTTTCTTAAACCTCTTTTGATCTTAAAATATTCTTCCAGTTCTTAATATATTCATCTATTTAAGCAGCATAAAAGTATTTTTCCCAGGTCTTTAGGAAGTTAGATATATGTTTTTGTATTGCAATTGGTACTCTTTAGAAATTCCAACTAATACGAAGTTTAACTTCAGGAGCCCTAGATTTAGTTTATCCTTTACATTTTCACAAGGTTGAATGCCTGAGAAAGATATTAGGAAGTTGCAGAGAAAAGCCAGGTCAATGCCTGTAGCATTCCTCTCCATTTCTATAAGACAGTTTCATTCCTACCTTTTTCTTTATAGTTAGGCAGTTACCACGTATTCCTTAATGGTTTCTATTTAAAAGATAAGGCATTTTCGTCTAGATTTCTTTTCGTACAGATTTTAATTCTATAATTGGGGTAACCAAGTAATGACACGCCAGCCAGATCTGAATGGCAGTAGCTTTACCATATTTCTTGAATATGAGATGACCCTGACTATAAGATGACCCTCCCTCCTGCAATAATTAGATTATATATATGGAAAAAATTATCTTAAAAAAAAATAAAACGTCGAGGTATAGAATCTAGTTATTGGAAGATTACCTTGAATTTGCCCCCCCTCCCACTGCTACAGTAGAGAAAATAAATCCCCCTCCCACTGCTGCAGTAGATAAAACAAATTCCACATGCAGGTATTCCCCTCTTCCTTACTGTCAGACCCTGCTCTCCCTGAACACATAGAAGTGAGGGGCAAATTTGAAAATACTGACCTTGAAATAAACATATGGGTACCCATAGACTTAGTTCATCCAGAATTGATGCATTTTACATTTTTTGAAACTACTACAAGTTTTAGTACAGGTATTCCATAGGCACATCTACATATGTGGCTTACTGCTCAGTAGACTAATTTACTGCTCAGTAAAGCGTCACCATCTACAAGTGCATAGCAATTAGGCCAGTTTAAACTAACTTACTGTGTTGTCGGATAGTCCTGTCAGACGCAAGTAGTTTCTGACAGCTCAGTAAATTAATCTGCTTAAACTGGCATCGGTCCTGGAGGCACTACAGTAGACAGTGACGGGGCTGGCTGGGGCATGAGGCTGCTTCAGTGCTGGGCTAGCCAGTGGGCAGGCCCACACTGAAGCACCCTTATGCCACAGCTAGCCACTCCATAGCATGTGAAGCCCCATCAGAACAGCTCTAGGCTGATGTGCTGTGGAATGGCTGGCTGGGGGCTTAGCCCCATGCTGAAGAACATTTGGGCCCCGGCCAGCCTGTCGACAGCACGTAGAGCCTGGTCAAAGCAGCCCTGGGCTGGCAGGCTGACTTCCTACCCCTTGGGTCCCCTGCTAATTGCTCTGGAATTTTTGCTCTTGGTCGCATGTTCAAAGGTTCACCTGGGAGCAATAAGTTCCAGAGTTTATTTATGTTCATTAATTGCACGTGTAAATGCACCCCAAAAACACGCTTTTAAGCAGTATGTTTATACCTACTTATTATATATAGTACAAACTGTGCATCATATTAATCCAAAGTCAGAAGGCTCATGATTTACCCTGTAGCTCATTGGGCTGGACCCTAACAGTCAACAGTGTTTTAGCCATGGTAACCCCACAGCTCAGTATTGCTCAGTATATGTACCCACAAAAGGACCCATGTGTGAATCAGTGCCCCCACTCATGACTGGAACGGAGTGTTCTTGTCACAAATTCTGGAATCCTCCTAACGTCTATATGCAGATAATGTACAGGACAACCTGGTCTGGCTCCACCTCCTAGAGGGTGAGACCACACTATTCATATGTTGAGACCTTATTTGATGATGTTTGCCAGACATTTAAGGCTGGTGAAGAAATAGGAATCTTTGGAAATAGGAAATAAAGGCACAGCTCACCTGTGGAGTGAAGAGGAAGTAAAAATGCAATATAGTGGCTCACCATGACTTGAAAAAGTGTTGGTGGTGAGGGGGGCTGAGTGCAGTGGGCACTACCATGTGTCTTCTTCAAATGGGATGCACTAATCTGTTCTTATATTAGGTTCCCATCAGCACCTTGGCATTTTTGGCTACAATCAAATTTAACATTTTTAGCACCAAAGGGAGGGTGTCATGGCTGGCTCTGGCCCTCCTGGTGCTGACCTCATATTACAGTGCCTCCAGGACCAGTGCCGGTTTCCTGTGGAAGGAACACTCACCTGTTTGGGGGTTTCTTTTAAGGACCAAAAAAAAAAAAAAATGGACGTTTCCATCAGCATGTTTGCCCAATATAGGCCAGGTATTTTATAATCATGTTCAGTGTTGGCTTCATTTAATCAACTTCATGTTTGGTTTTTGTTACTGAACATAGGCTACTTTTGGCACCAGTTTAATGCCAGTGTATGTAATGAGGTTTCCTTGTACATGAATGTAAAATGAGAAGCTTCTGGCCCCCCCCCCCCATGGTGGCTGGGGGGAAAAAACTTCATCTTGTATTCAGATACATACAGTAATTGCTGCAGCTCTTGAAGCCATAGCAATTAACACTGCCCTTGCTTGTCCTGCTGCCCAGTTTCTGAACCTGGGGGGAACCCTGCAGTCAGATCTAGAGTGCAGAGCTGCATTATCTCAAGAGGGTACAAATCTTGAGAGGGTACAAAGAACAACCACGTGTATGGTCAAGGGCATGGAGAGTAAGCCCTATGAGGAAAGACTCCAGGAACTGGGCCTGTTCAGCCTGAGTAAGAGAAGGCTGAGAGGCAACTTGATAGC